GTATTGTTCAAACAGTATTATTCTGGGTGACCAAAAATTAATTTTCACATGATCATGGAATCAAATAAATGAAATATGAGGTAATTTGAAGATATATTTAAACTTTTCAGCATGCATGTCAGAAAGAGCTGTGTAAAAAATAATGAGAACTGAGATATATAAGGTAATGACCAAACTTTAAATTACGAGAAGTTATTTCATATCTCAGAACTAGATATTTTCCATTTATCTCCATTTCTCATTTAATCTTTGAGCCAAACGTTCATTAATTATGCATATAAGAATCGCGCAACATTGTTTGTCATGCATTGTGGGTTTAAAATCATCTTCCATCATATCTTTTCATTGTTCAAACAGCTGGTTAGTCCAAGTGTATCTGACCTAGTTACCTGAGAGGGGTTTAAATGAATTTATTTTTCAGTTTTTTGATGCAATATATTGATCTAATATTTTCCGCCTCTGTACAGTGTGCCGAAATAAATGTCACAGTTTATTCTGCAAATAATTTATTGTAATTTAGTCTTTAATGTCTGTTTCTTATTTACTGATAATGATAAATGATTATATGTGTTCTTTTTACTGATAATTGTGAATGTAAAGGTAAAACAATTCAAGTACTGAAAAAAATTTCTTCTCGTAATACAAGAAATGACTGATTGATTGCCTATAAAAAGCAAGAAGACACTTAAGCGCTTATGGACTGCATTTCGCAAATGCATTTTCTTGAGACAAATCTGTTATTTTCTTCCATTTTACTTTGCTAACTTCATAATTGATAAGACCAATTTAGGATATTTCATCTCTTTTCATTTAAAAGGATTCTAATCGTGTGCTTTAAAGGTTTTTTTTGTCGATATATGCCTACCTTTTCAAGCTTGACTCAGTGCTGGAATAGACACAATATATTTTAATTTACTATCCGATCCTAGCAATTTTTCTTTTAAATCAAATAAAGAAGTGAGGGAGATGAGCAGGAAGAAAGTCGTGGGCAGATAATGAATTAACGAAAATAACGATATATCTGAAGACAATCAACAGTAATTTTTGTTGCAAGAGGTTTTTCGACCCTTCGACCGCATTTATTACTGGAAAAAGAGATGTGGTAGGAATGAAAAATTGTCTGAAAAAGTGAAAGAAAAGAAAAAACTTATTTGTTGCCAAAAGAAAACGGAAAAAAGTAATTATTAATACTTCGTATATGGGACACATGTATTTCACGTGTATCGCAGACCTGTTCAACGAGTTTTTTATAGAATCATATGATAAAGTACAATAACCAACAGAAATCACACATCAACAAATATATTCTTAACTTCGCAATATTTTACATTACCATTAAAAACAGGAGCATGAAAACTCACGGTACAATCTGCAGCAAAATGGCCGTAAGATGGTTAATTCAGTCAACACGTCAGTTTTTAGACCTTTATCCTATGCTAACTTTTCAAAACTTATCTTTATTTAAATATACTTAAGTTTTTAACGATTTTAAATACAACATGAATAATTGCCATTGTTCTGCTGGAATCAATACTCACAACTCTTTTTGTTGATCTCTTTCGCTGTTTACTGATTTCAAATTTCTTAGAAATCTTCATTTGCCATACCTGTACTAGAAATCAGACGTTGTATACAAGAATAAAGTCTCACATCATAAGCAAAAAGTATCTATTAAAATGTTCAACTGAATAGGTAAATGCGAAGACACTTATTCAAAAAACATTTTAGAATTGTTGCAAGGATTTCTTAATAGTTTTTCTGAGGTCATACTTCTCAACTATTTGGAATTCAACATATCCTGCACCTTTGACATTATATCATTAAACTTTAAACTTTCAATAAAAAGTATGAAATCTTCATTATGTATTTCACGTTCACATCTACAATGCTCTTTAAAAAAAGTGGGCTATTTTCTACACTGCCTTGAATAATGACCTTTACCACTGAAAGTAAATGGCCTAACGGCATTCTCCGCAATAAATTGCATCATAATTTGTGTTACTGCAAAGCACTCACTGAATCAGATGCACTCGAAAATTATCTTTTGCTGACATAATTAGACTATAATAACAGTAGGAATTTTTGGCTTCAAGGCTTAACGTGCGGAAACAATAATAAGTTGTTATTTTTGGCTTTAATTTCACTTACAATCCGTAACGCTGCCATATTTCAATTTCAGCATATGTTCTCGAAATATGCGACAGACAATCATAGTATGTACAAGTCTCTTGTTTTCTTTTTCTTTTTTCTAATCTCTACAATTTGAACTCCTAAATTCTGTACCGTGACCGCTTTTTCATGCTAACTTCTTAATAATATCAAGACTGGAATGCCGACATCTATCTTTATCATTTCTTTACGTAAACCTGTACTAAATATGATTACTGCTCACTTACTGATGTTATTTCGAAATTTTAGTAGATAGAGAAAAACTTGTTTATTAATGACATAACAAAAAGTCATTTTGAATGCGATATGACTGCAAATCCAACCCAAAACTCAAACGGTATCATTACTTCAATTAATCAGATGTATGAAAAATGTTGATCTAAATGAAGTGTTCATCATTTGAATATGAAAGAGGGAGAAGAAATGATTCTTGCATTTCTATTGTAAGCCCTTCCGCCTCTGGATTACAGTAGTCGTACATGAGAAAGACAAGTTGTATTTTCATTTTTTTACCTAAAATGCCGACAGCTTTTTCATCACACCTACTCCATTTCATTATTATTCCCAGAATAATAATCATGTCAGAAGGAATGACTGCTGAAGGAATGACTGAGAAGGAATGACTGCTGGAATGACTGTCATGTCAGAAGGAATGACTGCTTTTAGAATGAAACTAAGCATCGTAATAAAAAAATGACTTGAATTAACTGCTTTGGCAAGCTGATATTTTTCTTACATGAGAATAATTGACATGTATGCTAGTACATCCTTCTTATCACCATTACCACAGTTGGTACTCTCCTAGTACTATTTGAAAGATATTCATTGATCAACTTATGCTCTTATACTTATTCTTCCCTCCAGCTGGATTTTTAACTATGTCGAGGATCATTATGATATTTTAAATTGCTGGAACAATTGATACTCGTGAAAGAAATATACTTTTTGCAAAGTATCATTCACTCCTCTTCCACTGATGTCGTTGTCTGCCTGGCCAATTTATTTTTTGCATGGTTCAGCATACTTTTCGTTCAAGTGTTTTAAAAATTAGCTGACAGTGTTTTATGCTAATGAAGAAAGATTTCATTCATGTCTAAAGAATGAATGTTGTTCTCATTAAAGTGTCGGCTTTTTGCAGCCATGTCTACATCAAATGGATTTACTTCACTATTCGCTAGCAGTTATTGAATAGAATAGATGAATAGAACTGGAATAGTCATTTCATATGTAATCTCATCCGAGCTATTATTCTAGCACCTATACACAACATGGAACGGACACAAATAGATTCTATAGATGCAGTCTTTGCATCATAGTGAATAATTAAAGAACTTGTTCAAAGACTCTTGGAAAGTTCTAGTCAATAAGACAGGCGGCAGGAATGCTGACGCTTGCTTGGTTAAATCTTCGCTTATTATGTAGTATGTCTCTACGTGCGTGTAAGTGTACGTCGCGTGGGCACTTGCCCAGTGGCAACTGCCGAAATGGCAAGTGATGAAATGAATGACTGCAAAAACATTTGATTGCTTTCTTGTTGTATGCAGTTCCAAATTGACTGCAACCTCAGCAGTTGCAATGCAAAAAAACAATTCGAAAGCAAGTTGCTATTATGAGGGAGTTAGATATGGCCCGCAATTTCAAACAAATCCCCGATGATTTGCATACCCATTTGATGCTAAACCGTTCTCTATGATTTTACTGTCATTTCTATGCTTGAAATTTGTTGCAAAAAAGGGACAAACCCAAAAATTTTTTCCCCATGAGTGATTGCGTCTTTGAAGTTGCTGGCAGATCGTGTTCCTTTTGTTCTTTTATCTCATGCCATAACAGATTGTACACACAGTCACATGCTATAAAAAAAATTATCTCACTTCTTGTACTGTTGGCAAGCGAGGAAAAACGGGATTATGAGTCAAAATAAGTATTGGCTTGAGAGGATACTGAAAGCACGCGATAAGATGTAGCTTGCCTCACACTTTCAAATGCCATATATTTATTACTACTGATTGTAGTATATTTCTGTGTCCACTGCATTTGGTGAGTATTGAAGAAGTAAGCCTGAGTGAATCAATCAATCAGATCAATATTAACTCGAAAAGTTCCTCCTCTTTGATTAGAAAGTCACGTCACAGTGTTGGTTCATTCATGGCAGGTTGATGCATCATTGTGCGGTGGCCATTGCAAGTGGCGGTTGTTTTTGCGGGATGTCAGTGAGAACTCCAATGGACAGCGATGCAGGCAGACGCCACGGGCAACGAACTGAACGGGTCATTGTCCGTGGCGATAGTCAACTTGTCCTACTGCCCCTCCTACCTTGTGTTCCTTTGTAGAGCCGGTTACTGCCAAACGTGATTATTCATAACGTTTTTTCCACTGCTTCTACTTCATATCACTTTGCTTCACTCGACTCTACTACTCCACTCTCATGTAACATTGCAATCATCATACTATGAAGTATTTTACGATATCACTCATAACGACAACATATACGCACAGACAGACAGACAGATAGACAACTGTGTTGTTTTGGGAGAGAGAGCGGAGGAGCGCACTTTCAGAGCGTGTCACACACATTGCCGCTGGTGTTGCTGTAATTGGGCGTTGAGGAGGAGAGCAGATGGGAAAGCGGTAGCTGATGGGAATAAGTGAATGTGATTAGCCATTCTTTCGCGAACTTGTGACTGGATGAATGAGTGGTTGCATGTATGGATGATGGGATGAGTGAGTGACTGGATGAATAAATGATTAAGTGAAAACAGCAAGATTCTTCTACATTCTTTTCCCACTTAATTTTTGACTAGATTACAGCGTTGGTTAATTGCCTGGTGGTTATGAATCGAATACATTCACCATTTTGTTTCGAGCAATTAATTTCCGCAGCACAATATATCGAGAAGGCACGCAGCATTCCCGATGTTTACCTCAGTTAGTTCTCATATTTTGACTGTGCAAGCCATCTTATTTTGCGCAGTTGTCTTAGTTACATAGCTGAATACATTGTATGATAGTTGGCATGACATGGCTTCAAAGTATTTCGAACTCATTTTCTTTTATGTTCGTTTTACATGTTCGTTGTGCTGACTGAGCTTAAAAAAGATAAAGGGAAGAGCTTTTGTGAAGTACAAGTTTTAAGTTCGAATATTTTACAGCTAGCGACGACAGCAGTGGTGATTCTTTTGTGAACAAATCAGCAACGAGACAAACTTTGTCAACCTGTTCCATCCCCTCGACGTCATCGTTAGGATGTTCATCTGACCGTAGTTCGTCATCCATCCCTTCACCGCATCATTATCCAACATCTTCTCCGGAATCGAATCGGCGGCACCAGCCATACCCATCTGTGACCAGTGCACGTCATAGCAGGTGCTTTTTATTCTTACCTCTCTCCTCTCCATACTGCGTACTGCAACGGAAATTTGATATCTACCTAGTAGATTGTGGTTAGTATGGTAATGGAAAATTTAGTTCGTTCTCGGGGAAAGTGAATATGATTCTCATTTCAAATGCATTATTCTCATTTTCTAAACAAAAAACGAGAGTAGTAGCACACTTCACGCGGAATGTGAATCTCATTCAGTTATGTCTGAGAACATATTAAAGCAAATTTGTTTATTGAATACATTGATACTGAACGTTGGTTTACTTTTCTTCATGCCATCTTCACGTGCATTGTTGCTGGTAGCACGTGCCAGCTTCTTATTCTGCTTCAATAGCATTTCGTCGATACTTATGCAAACAAATGCGGTGCTCTTGTCTTTCGCATTCCCATCTACTGTTGGTTTCTAGCAATAAAGAGTAATATACACTTTGATAAGATGAGTATACAGAAATGATTAGTGGGATAGATGGAGTAGTTGAACTCCGTATTGCACATCATTTATGCTATGCAGATGACATGAACAAATCAGCCATTTGTAGTTATTATCTGAAGTCTTATTCTGTTCTTAATCATCTGCAATTACTGATAATTAGTTTAACACAGAATGTAGTCAGCAAATCCACAATTGATTGTGATTCTATCTATAAATGTAAATCAGTAAACAACGGTGATTCCTGATGGAGGTTTTTTGGTCCTGACTACTACTTCCTTCATGAGATGATATTTATGACAGGGAGCATAATCGCTTTGCCGCTTATGAAGCAAGTAGGATGTTACTTTAATGGCAGCCATTTACATTTCCATTCAGAAATAAAAATTGCAAGTATGAAAAAGCTTGTAAAAATCCTTTTTGGAGACTGGGAAGGGAAGTGGAATGGAAACCGGAGAACATATGCATGAATGCATAGATATATCGTGATCACACTCATCACAAATACTTTTACATTCAGCAGTGCAGCTGTACGGGGTTAAAAGTAGGAAAGCTGAAGTTTGATGAGTAATTGTACTGTTGGAGGAAGTAATAGGTTATAAACATGGCGTGCGTTCATTGGTGTTAGACATTTTTCACATTTGTTTGTTAAACTAGAGGTTATGCTAAGTTCTTGTATGACATTGTAAACCAGTCTTTACTTCCCCATTCATATTCACGAACTCAAGCATGAAGCTTTTTCAGTTTCATGCCTGCTACCACTCGGCAGTGTACTTTTGATAAAATAGCAGCAAAGACAAATTGCAGAACTGCCCACAACGAGCTAGAAAAAACTCGACGTGCTAATCTTCGTGGTTATTTGGATAACTTGAAGGATATCGTACCCACAGGTTGCGATAATGCTCGAAACACGACTCTCTCCTTACTAACTCGAGCTCGAGACTATATAATGGTTAGTTTTTGTTTGTGAATATTATATTGGTATGAACTGCTTGTTTGTTCTTTTTTTCCATGTTTGTTTGATGCATACAAACCGTAGCATTCTATAGTTACAATTCGAACAGAAGAGGACATTTTGTTCATAGCGTTATCTGTTCTTGTGTTTGGAATGCAAAGTGTTGCAGACAACAGTGTGTCTTGTCTGGGATTGTTGTGGTATAGAATTGAGGGCTGGTGTTGATGCTAACGGCTGCAGACTGCAGAGCAAACGAGGCAATGTTCATACATATATATGTATGACTTTTAGAAAATGTGTGGTAAAAGTTGATAAAAACATAGCGTAAGAAAGATTGTTTGCTCATTTCTGTGCAGCAGTTAAATGCATACAATTGTGCGTGGAGGTATCTATGGCAGCACGAGAAGGCCTCTGTTATTATTTGTGGAAGTGATGTTTGAAAGTTTACGATCCTATACGTGATTGGCAGTGCGTGAAGCACGTGTAGTTCGACACTGTCTACTGGGATTTTATCACGTGGCTGCCTCTAACACAATGTGTGCTTGTGTGAAAGAAGAGTGAACTATAGTAGAACTCTCGACATGTGGTCGCATACCTATCACAAAGAAGTGTACTAATGTGTATCGCGCGAGAGGGCGCTCTAATTCCATTCATAAATCAATTGAGTCAGTTGGGCTTGTCTCTCAACACCTCGATGATCGTTAATGTCTGGTAGGGTGGGAGTGGTGGGTGTTGTTACTTAGCAGTCTCTCTTCCTAATACTCAACCATTAGTGTATGATGATGAATGATGGAACTGGCAGAGATGACATTGTGCTAGTAACAGTTTGTAGACGAGGGAAAGAGAGGAATAGTACACATATGTGCATGCATTTTCAGGAATTAGAAAAGCTGATAAGCAGCGCAGAAGAGAAAAAAAGCCAACTTGAAAAGCACCGCTCCTCTCTGCGGCTTGTGTTGGAAGGATTGAATCCGGATAAAACAGTGGCAGAAGGATCTCGACCAGGAAGTGCGGGTACCATTTCTGTGGTTGATGATCACGACTATGGCATCTTCTCGTCATCCTCGTCGTCTGTTTCTTCTCACACATCATCTGATAGTAGCACTTCATGTTTAGATTTCAGTTCCAAGTTATCTGTCTCATCTAGTAACTCATCAGTAGTTAGCTCTCCTGTTCATCCCTATCCACCCTTTGATCCCTATTTGAATGGACTTCTTCCTGCGCTACCACTTTGTTATCCTCGTATTTCGATGTACCCTTACCTCGACGTGCAACCCCTATGATTTCTCTTGTTGTTTTCTACAATTACAGCAGCTGTTATTATCGTTGTTCTGTAATTCATAGTATCTCAATCCTGAATAATAGCAGTGATGTGTCTGAAATCATAAAGTTACTGCAAGTACTGCTGCGCCGTTTGAAATTAAATTGTGAAGGTTGAAAGTTTGGTTAAGAGATACAATTGCTGATTTATTAAATAAATGATAAGTCTACTACTTGCAATTGTGCGTTGTCCATCATTTGCTCCTTCGTCATGAACTGTTAATAATATTGTTGTCTGTCAGTCATTTTTTCTTTTACTTTGAACTGTTATATCTTAGAATTTGTGTCATCCAGTGAAATTTTTGACTTTGAATTATAAAAAACGTATTCCGATGTGCCGAGTAACAAACTTATTTAACGACTCATTTTGCTTTTATTATCACTTCAAATTGCACCTTCAAGGTTGTTTTAGGAATGGGAAAAGTACCGTGACGCTAGTGCGTGATTTATTATGAGAAATTCATAGTGTTATAGGTACTAATACCGTAAGCAATGGGATATATATATTCATCTCACGAGCTATGGAGCTTGATTACTATGACACTAACATTTTTTGTAAGTCATATTGTTCTAGGATGAAAATGCTATTTACGAGAAGGCCAAGTCTTCTACTATGGTTTAATGAGTTAGATATTACCGATTACTTCGTTCCTTACAGTACTTCGTGAAGTCACTGTATGGCTGAATATATGACCCGGTCACTTTTATCTCGTGGATACTAGTCCATGTGATTTTATGAGTTATGATTATAAGTCTCTTTCTTTCAAACAGCGGTCGTTTCGGTTTAGTGTTTTGCTGGTTTTGAATCACCTCACTTTTGAGAACGGAACTTGGAAAAACTATCCAGTCTATGAGTGTGAGAAACGGTAGTACCCTCTCAGGTGATGATGTCTGAGGTGGGATAGAGTTACTTCTTGCAAGGCAGAGGTATTCGAAAATTATTAGATATCCGATATCAAACTACCGTTATTTCTCTAGGCATTTTCAATTTATCATCTAGTGGGAATCTACATTTTAGAGGAACGGAATCAACAAATTCCTGGAATCATAAGTGGGGGTTCTTATCGAATTTTTAATGAACATAGTGTGGTGCCCCACATTAGCCAATTATTCCCTATATTGAAAGGGAGGCGCAGTATCAAATATGATGGCTCTACTATTTTAGATTTATAACTTTTACAATGAGTGAAAAAAACTTGTAAAAGCTTTCATCTATCTTGAATATTATACATCTGAAATACGTTAACTCAGATAGCCTTTATATTCACTACTGACCAAACCATGCAACTAAATCTTTCTATCTAAGTCATGTCAAAGAATTTTATCAAAGAGAGTGTAATACGGATACTTAATTCATTCATAAAATACATAGCAACTTTTTAAAAAGATGATTCCTGCAGGATAAACTTTCTTTCGTATTTTAAAGGCTTTGAGATCGGTAACTGAGATGAGAAAAAAAACTTGAAATGAAAGAGCATCACCAAGCTATTTGTGCTGATTAGTCAGCGAAATTTTTGATAAATTTAACGAATACCACTAAAACAGCAATGATACCTCTTCACAAACAGAAAAATAAGTGAACTACTCTATCAAATCCTAAATTCTTAAGCTGATTTGTTTAAAAATCAAATGTTCTTGCTTGGAAGTGCACTGCACGATTGGCGCGACAAAAGGACAAACATTAATTGAAATTCCGCCTAAATAATAAGAATTTTGAAGATATAATTCTAACTATCGTGAGAAGAAAAATCGCCTTTTTCACACAAGAAAATTAAGATTTAAAACATTCATTCACATAAAGAACGGTGATTTCCTTATGCTAAATCAGCGGGAACTGCAGCACAAAAAAAATCGCATTGTTTCATGTTTTGACGCAAATCGCATTGTTTCATGTTTTGATGTAATATCAAGGAAGGAGAAAAAAAAAGATAATACGTAAGCTCAAATTCTATATGCAACTCTTGGACCGAAAATTATTGGCTATTTAGAACATGGTAAACGCGGAAAGTTGGATTCTTGAATACCAAATCAAAATATGGTTTTGTTTCTTCAGTAATATTTCGTATTTGATCACAGAACCGCGAACTAACAGGTTGTTGGAGTCCCACTGTTTCTATAATGTAGCATTTAATAACAGAGTGTACTAAATAGAGTGTTTTAAAATCAAACGGATACAAAATAATTTCATCATTTGGTATACCTAATGTTACCTTCATCTTTCACATAATCTGGTGTATCACCATTAGCAATATCCACCAAATCATTTGTTGAGCATCCAGTTGATGGTGCCAAACATATGCTGTCTTCAAGTATGATATAATCTACCTTATTTGCTTTCAAAATTTCATATATTTCCCCGGGATTTTTTCGACCATACATCTAAAGAGAACATATCTGAGAATTTTTTCAAAAGCTCATAATTTTTACATACTATCTCTGAAAAAACAGTAGTAATCTCTCCTTATAATACAGACCTGATAAAGCTGTAATGTTCGATCACGCAGCCATTTATCTTCAAATTGTGGATGGATTGCCAAATACCGTCCAGTACAAGCTTTTACTCCAGCCATTAACTGCATACTGCCTGCCCACGAAGTATGAGGTTCTGTTGAATGTTTAATCCATTCCATTAATTGGACAGTGTTTGGATCATAGAATACCTGCATTATTTTGAAATTTTCTAAATAATGATAACAGTTCACTTAAAGCAATAGGAAACAACACTAACTGGGACTCAACAGAGAAAACTAGAAATCCACCTGTTCATCCGCCATCTGTTCCGTATATACATCATAATGAGTATAGAGCAGACTCGCAACTGCAGCTACTACAGCCCCTTGAACAGCTAATCGCCCAAACTTTTTTGAAATCCTAAACAATTTATCGCCACCATCGAATATAAAGAATAGTAGTGATTAGGCGGCAAAACTTTCAGAAGGCATTTTGATTGAAGAAAATGCCTATCTTCTTTTATAATTTCAGAATATGCGATACAATTAAACTTACATCATAGGAAATAAAGATGCAACTAGAGCAATTAGTGGGAACCAAAGATACTTCATACGGAGAGTGAATACCGCAATGACTCCGCAAAGCACTGACTGATTGACGACAAAAACAGTTTCTGGCCCGAAATACGAGCGAAATGTAGTTACTGAAATAACAGTGCAAACAATTTGGATATAAACGTAGATCAGAAATAAAATTTAAAAAATTTCACAATTCAGCAAAGCATCTCCTTTGTTGAGATAAAATGTGCCTTAAATGAAGTAGAAAAAGTACTTGAAAATCGTCTCTCATAACACTGTACAACCAATGAATATACTGTCAACACGGCAATTATCAATACTGCAGCTACAAATGAAGGAAAGCAACCATTTAGCGACGTTCGTCGAAAGAAATCAGTATCGAGATAAGCAAAAGCTCCATGACACACATACAAGGCAGTTTCAAAAGGTACTGATGATCTAAAAAAACAAAAAATCAATGTGCAGTCTAAAATAATGAGAAATAATTGTCAATTTCTAATACTAGTTGAACTGAAATCTTTGTTCCGTCACTAAAAAACTAAGCCTAGTTACTATAATATGAATCAGTAGAAAAGAATGATTAGGAACTGCTTTTCGCTTCACTTTGAGCGAGAAAAGAGAAAATAAATAATGCGATGAATGAGAAATATCATTAAAAAAAGTTCAAAAATGATTAGCAAGGATTAATAAAAAATCAATTTTCGAATCTGGTACTTTAACTGCAAATTTGCGCCAGAAGGAGATCATCAGAATACACACAAAGCGAGAACTTACACTGCCAAATCTCTCGCTTGAAAACAGTTTATGAAACAGTAATTTCTTATTATCATTTTTAATTATTTTTATTCTCAGTAATAATCTGTAATCACACCTGCATGAAAGATAAAAAACAAGAAAAAAAATTTTAACTCAGAAACAAACTAAAAATTGTGCACAAATTACCGAGAAATTAAGCCGACTTTTACTTTCATAAAAGTCCATATATGGCTGTCAGATTGAGCACCCAGAAAGTAGCGAGTGAACGTGCTGAGCAGTAATGTTAAAATAGTAATATATATTGATTTGAACACCATTGCACCAAACCGATTCCTGCAATTTCAAAATAAATTGTAGGCAAAAATTAGTGAAAAGAAAAACAGAAAAACTGCATAAACGTGAAATTTTTAGCTGAATTTTTAGGATAGAAAATAACAAACTTTAATAGTGAATACAAGCAACGAACCTTTTTGTTCTGTTTGTCCAATAAATGATTATTACTGCACTTAAATTAAAAGTTGTGCAAATCGAAGCAACAGCCATAGGTTGCCCAAACTGTGCTAAAATCACCAGAAAAAACGCAAGTGACTGCAGTAAAAGCAATGAAACAACAGTAAACGATAATTGAGGAATGATCAAACACATCCCGACCATGGATATCGATTGCAGCACTAAGATGAACTGCAATTTTAGCGATATCAGTAAAAGTTCATAGAAATTCATTCACTGACTGTCAAAAGAATGCTAACAAAAAGAAATAAACGTCAATTATTTAACAATACTACCTGACTGAACTGCCAGAACAAAGCAAATGAAAAAGTGGAAAGGATATATACGAAGTAATATTTTTTGCAAGCAGCATGGGGACGTTGCATTATAACAACAGCACAGACATTCTGTAGCCAAAAAAATGGCAACGCAAAATTTTCACGCAAATTGACAGCAAAATAAGCTCGAGTGTTATCATCGTAGTTAACAAGCATCCATGTGGAAACGAGCAATCCGTAGAGCCAACTAAAAACATCCTATATAAATGAGAAGCGATTTTCAAAAGTAGTAGCACAACTGGAAAGCATCAATGAAACATCATACTTTCCAGTCAAAGACCAAGTAAGAAAGAAGAGATTTGTAACACCAAATCCAACAACAGTAAAACATGAATAAACATAAAACAGAATCGGTTCCGGTAAATAGTTGTCCTTTAGCCATTGAAACGATGCAAAAAATCTGTATAAAAAAGCAAGGAACACTTCTTGGTAAATGTTGAATCGTTTAAACACATTGATTTCTCGGGGATATTCAGTGCTGAAAAAAATACAAACTCATGTAATAAATATGTCAAAATCAGTTCCGAACCAATCTCTCGCACTGGATTTATGAAATGGTCACCTGTTATCGTGAAGAAATGCATAGATTATTTTACTAATTGTCATTTGTGGATCAACTGCAATTTTATAAAACGAGTAATAAAGACCAGTCTCAGTTCTTAATGATATCTCCCGCTCCACTTGACTAATATGAGAGAACCAATGTTTCGTTTCATGCATTTCCTGCATGTACCTACAACGTTTAATCTTGCACTGCAATTACCAAACAAATAAATATTATAAAAAATTAAAGGATAAGCTTACTTCCCGAAAACAAAGCCAGCTAAGATTCCTACTACAATCCCGATACAGGTACTGCAATGACTAACTCGCCATTTGGATCTGATCCGATAAGATGAAAGTGGTATCCGTTTTAAAGATTTAGGAATTTCATAATCCATTTGTAATCAAAGGATTTATACAGCAAATTTATGAACCTAATACAGATAATTCTTTGAATCCTAGACACGAACCTCTGCAGTTAACACCTGAAAAATTCAAGAATAACCCAAAAACCCTGGACTCCCTGACAATGCACGAGGAACACACCAGTTTGCTACGATCGCTATTGACACAACTCTGAAACGTATGTAAAAATATTACACAAAATACTCGCTATCATTGAACGAATCCCCTTCAATCATAATTCAAAGTTTGATTCCTTGACACGGTAGCACGCCACTTCAGTCTTGAAAGCCATATTTGGCCAACTGTCATCTACTTCACAATCCCCGTAGTTATTTACAATTTTTATTTTAACATATTATGAGTCAACAAAATACGAAATATTTACAGCTTTCCTCTACAAATCAATCCTGAAAGGTACCAAATCATGATGTTGTCACCACATGTTCATTTCAATCCTAACATGAGCAACGAATAAGGGAAAATTAGCATTTAAACACCATTTAGCAAATTCCTATGATCCACGTATGCCTGCTCTTTCATACATCATCTAAACAACCAGTCCATAAAATAAAAAGAATACTTTGCATTACACAACAAAAAGCAACAAAACTAATGTCATGCAGCTCCCAATACTGGCAAAAAACATACTTTTTACTTTTTAATTGCAACTTAAAACTTTTGAATAATAATAATATGCTGCTGTATGCTATATCACACATAATGAAATTAATAAAAAGAAGCGACAATTTCTTTTGATCTATTGCAGTCAAAGAATTTTTCAGTTTCAATGTCCCTCATCTGTCTCATTAGGTAATGCGCAGTCGATTCTGCAATGATAAGCAATGGATGATTTCGAATCTCCGCTTCTTGACGTGCAATATGAATTACCTGCAACAAAAAAAGTTTGACTAGTTAAACTTATTGAACGCTTACAACGATTATAAACCTTACTGTATGTAAATGAACAAAGTTACTGAAACTGCGTACGAGAAAGCATATAAAACAACAACAAATTTTTAGTCGTTTCATCATAGAACTGAATTTATTATGGACTTTATGTGACCACAAGTAAAATTTCAAGCACCCAGAGCAACTTTAAATACTAAGTTTTCTAGCATCTCCTGGGAAAAAACTGAAAATATATTTCTTAAAATAATTAGATTACATCTATAATCTTATTGATTTCTAATCGAGCATCAGCATTTCGAACCAAACGATCTAAAGTTACACTTTTTTGTTCATCTCTCTGCCTGCTAGCGATTTCCTGCAACATTTTCATCTTAAACAATGTACTATGTTTCTTTTATTTAAATTTGATTTGTATCACTTATCAAATTCCAACAACTAGACATTGCATGCTTATAATACAGCTCGAAATTTTTGGACCAAAAATTGATGTCCTTACCAGACTCAAAGCATGGAGAAACTCTTGAAATAACTGATTTTTATAATCACTAGAAGCCAGTTGGACTTTCTTGGTTGCACTATCAATCAACGATATCAGTGAGGTCTGCACAACTAAAAATCATGTTCCCATAAGCCAAAAACGTGAAATAAAGAAATTACTTTTACAAAATTTGACTTGAAAAAATTACAGAGCTACAAAAACATGGAAAAAATTTATAAATAGGTAACTTGTTTCAAGATTTGATCTACATAACCCCCAGAACCTTCACGCACTTTCGAGACCTGTTCAATAGGATCGGGATACTTTTTAGTTTTTTTACTATCTATTATAGCACACTTGGCACTAGATCTGAAAAGCATAAATAAAAACTTGGAAGACTTTTAAAAAAAATTGTATAATGCAACTGAAAGAACCAAAAATAACAAACAAATCACTTCTGATTCTCATCTAAAGATCGTAACAACGACATATGCACACCTCCGAATAACAGTACAATAACAGCTGCTGCTTTCGGGCTAAAACTACTCCCACGTCTGAAATGAATCCAAAAATTTCACAAATCTATTTACCAACAGCACTTACTTCTTTTCCTTTCGAAAAATTGATTCTATGATTAAGATCAGTTTAAAAACTGGATAAGATCACGAGCATAACTATGGAATATTCCTTTTTAATGAAATAATAATAGCACTAAATATTATGAATGGATAAGTATAAAGTTGTGAAATTCGGAAAAGTTTAATCATGTTGAGCAAGATATTAAACTTACGTATCCACTAAATATCCCTTTGCATTCATTTTATCATGCACTTTAAATACGGAATTAAGACGTAACCACTGAGGTAAGACATTTTTGTGCCATTGATTTCGAAAAACATTAAAGGTTAGCTGCAATAATTACAAATGAGTCTAAAAAAGCACAACTCAGTATAATTTAAAAACATTTGTTGAGTTATCTGAATTTGCAGCAAGTTACTACCCACAATTCTAATTATTAAAACATTCTAATTACTGATAGACTTGTCTTTGTGCACATTATTTTAAATGAAAAAAAAATAGTACAAATTCAAACCTGTAAGGACTGGAATACCATGATGCATAGTATTATTTATATAAAAGCATATTCTTGACAGTTGAAATCTGACTGAAAAAATTAACCAATAGAAAAATAATGAGAATCGGAGTGGAGCTTCAACATAATAACTACACAATAATTACACACATATATATTCTTCTATTAGCAGCTCACTTATATCTAATTTTTCTCTTTACTGTTCCTACATTCCTTTTATGGTCAGTATGAACTTAAAAAATGTCCTTATCCGCTCCCTTGTTTATAATGACCAGACTCACTACTGCCATGACTTTTTTATCGCGGTACAGCGATGAACAACCGATGAACATAAATCCAGCATTGTGCCCTGACAACTCATTCAACAATAGTACTATTTCATTCAGATATCAAACAAAAACTAAAAATGCTCACAAGTAAAATACGCACAACCGCAACTACGAAAACATACTTTGAAATCAACTGGTTGCTCTTAATTGACTCCCAAGAATCGACATGACTTTGAAGTAGATCATTGCATAGTGATACTCTTCCTGGACCGAGATAATATGCAATAAATACGGATCAAAAATCTATTTTTTTATTCGTAGTTACCGGATTGAGAAATATATTTATTTATTCAAAGTAGAATTTGACATTGGTATGAAAAGTGTGACCTATGCTGACCTTTAGGTTGCTTATTTTATAACAGTAAATCCTGAGAAGAGAGTGATTTTCGATAGTACTGTAGGTTGGAAGAAGAGTGGAAGATAATTGTGCGAAAAGCAAGTTATGAATTTTGGAGATTTCATATAGCAGTGCTTTGATGTTGCTCGTTTTGGAAAGTGATTGATTGGTATCTATTAAATTGAATTATAGAATTGATTGTGAATGTAACGTTGCAGTTGTTACCTCCAAGTAGGAGAAAGGATTGTGAGTGCAAAATAAACTTTTGAGGACTTTATTTAAGCCCATGGATATGCTAGGAAAAAAAGCTAAACTATTATCGTTATACTTCTACTCGCGTTTATCTTTGATTGCACAGATGTGATGGCTGAATTTATTGCGTTGTTGTCTATCAAACAGCATTTAGAAAGAAGTTTTGTTACTGAAATGTGCGTGCAGGGGGAGATAGCTAAGTGTACGGTAAGGTTTTTGTACTAGAGCTATGGCTGATCATTCTCTGATTTATGAAACATTTTAAAAAGTAAAAGCATAGAATCATTTATATCTAAATTGAGTATAATGAGAATATAATGACATATTGATATTTTATTTGGAGTCACTGAAAATAAAATATTGTAATACCGTACCTTTGTGCAATGAAAAAAAAATGAAACTAAATTTTGAAGTAGCTAACGATGCTGAACGAAACTGTTAATGAGCCAGTGCATTGCGCTTCAGAAGAATGATATCTGCATACTACTTCTTTATGAGTGTGACACTGTTAGTGAAGTTAATAATGGAAAGTAATGGGCATGGTAACTAATTACTGCAGAGATACTACTGAAAGTCAGCTTCACTTGTCTCACTATATTGCATCAGTGAATGATATCGCAGTTGTAGAATTCTACAAATAGTTTCAGGCTGCTTTCTATTCATTATTACTATAAACTTCCAAAGTTTGATTAAGAATAGTCAGTCTTTTGACTACAAGATGTAAAGACTAACTCAGATTGGAAAAAATGGAACTGAAATATTTAAATAAGCAGATTGCTCGGTTCAAACACTTTTGATTAATAATCAATGAGAATCAGAACATAACTAGTAGTACGATGAATTGTTCAGTTACAACTCGTCCATTATCATTCTGAAACTGATCATTAAATTAAACTTCTCTGGCAGTAAGAGCTGACATTTGCAGCAGTTTCTCGACAATATTATGCCATACTTGGATAGCAAATTTACAGTTGCCAAAAAAAAAATCTATGATATTTTCATTACAGTGGAATCTATAAAGTATATGATTAGTAATAAATGTGATCTGCGCACTTTGAAGATAGATGCATTACCCTAAATCTGAATATTGCCAAAACTCTGGTTGTCTATTTTAGTGGTGCAGTGCTCGTCACTGATCCTACATAGACCTTTCGTAGATCTTGTGACATTGCTAATCTATTGCTCACAGGCAAGATAATTGTTGCAGTCATACTAACGCAGATAAATGGCTTGCATCTAAAAGCATATTACAATAATCCAGAAAAGTTCACAAAGCTTCTTATCTGCATGATAAATTCTAACTAATCTATCACCACGAAAAATCTTTAGTACAAAGACTCTATTACCTTAGATTACTTTCTATAGTTTGCTAGTTTCCTACCTTGATAGAGAAGAATTTTCAGTAGAATGATCAAGAATTCCTCAAATAATTATAGTTTCAGACAAATTTCAGCAATTAAAAAGAATTAAATCAGCAATTTCAATTAGCTGCAAAATATTTGCCGAGCACCGAGTTGTGCTTGCTTCATTAAGGCCATCCTTTTGAACAGTTTTTTAAAAATAAACAGGGAAATAATCTTTTTTCGTGCGCATTCAAAGGAAATAAGCAGAGCAGATAATTATGATTTGAATGACTGCTGAGTGGATTTGATTCTTGAAAAAATCATTCCAATTACTAGACTGCGGATACCTGTTTACATCTTTTTTTCATATCACTGACAAAAATTCAGCATGGTTTCGGATCTAGCAGTTTTGAGAATGGCATTTTAAACAATCCTGAACTGATTTTACAATCTACTAAATTTAAAGTTATAAAATATGTGCAAATATATTAATGATATTTATAGTGATAATTCGTAAGTAAATTAATTTGATGACTTTGGCTTTAGTAATACTTCAAAATTTAGCAGCGTATTAAATGGAAGTATGATGCTCTCTGAAAATGCATTTCTCTGTAAAATTTGGCTGCTATATTAGTTACTTGCAGACTTCGACTTTTTAAACAACATGAAGTATGATATCCAGTTTTCCAATTTTTGTCTGCATCTAGATGGTTTGCTAAGTTAAAGTGAATGAAATATATGAGCAATTACGGCTTTCAAAACGCAGTTCTGGCGTAGAAAAGGGTTATGCTAGAAAGTAATGGGTAATTTTTCTAAGACTGAGTTTTCTCTTTTTTTATTCAATTACCCATTAAGGTGATGAAGGAATCTTCTGGCAGTAAGTACTAATAGATGCTTTGATCAGATGTGCCTGCAAGTTCTATGCAAGAAAGTGTTGCATATGAAAGATAAATTGAAACAAAATATGTAAAATAGGAACTGTGTGCTTGAAAATGGTTATTTACACCATTTTGTAAATAACATGCTTTCAAATGACTGAAATTTGAAAATTTATGCAAGTATATTCTCGAGAGAGATGTATGACGACGAGCAGATGTTGCAGATTAGTCCTGTATGAACCAGTTGAACGAACGTTCTTCCATATGGTTTAATTCTAAGGAAGGAAAATATGAGCAATTATCAAATATGCTGCTCTGGAATACGTTTGATGGAATCTGCTTATAATATGCTAACAAATTCTCTTAGAAATCTCTCACCCAAATAATTAGTGCATGTTTGCAAGCTTGTAGGACGGAACTGAATGTTTCAGCATTGAGAGACGCAAGAGTGAAAACAGCAGAAGTTAGAGCTTGGTCGCAACGTTATATCTGCGCGTAAAATAAATCCCAGATCAAGGTATTTACTGAGTAAGAAGATCGAATATCAGTTATGAACCACATCTTTTACCCGTTCAAATTCCTGAAATGCTGGAAATACTTCATTTTCTTACTTGCTGAAAGTTATTTCATTCATTTCATTGACTATTAATTTTGTCCAGCTTATGCAGAATCTAACAAATCAATTAGCAAATAATAGCTGTAGATGATTACTCATTTGCTTTCTAACTTTCACCTTAACAAAGAGCAATTGAGTTTATAAGTATTAATGTACTAAAAAATTTTAAATTATAGAGCATTATTCATGCAAAACTTGTATAATAAGATATTTGCTCACTTCGGAAACAGTTAAACTGCTGATTAACTGGAACTGGAAGGATTATCAGAGAGAAGGAAAGCTGCTCGACCATTACCAATGTATCATCTATCTATCTATCTATCTATCTATCTATCTATCTATCTATCTATCTATCCATCTATTCAATCATTTATTCATTTATTCGTCTTTGCATTTCTATAATGGAGCAAATGCAGGAGGACAGAGTATCAGTCGCCATCAGCGCCATCATTACTCATAGGAATCATTTCGTTACCCATTTCACCCATTTCACTCACAAATCTCCCTCTCCCAACCCTTTTCTCCCAGTCAGCAGCTACTTACAAACTTTCTCCTCTTCCAATCACTAATCGTTTACTTGTCAATAATAATGGGTCGTCGATTTCAGAAGCTTGCGGTAAGTTCATTTTAGATAATTTCTGCTCGCCAATTTCGATTCAAAAAACCTATGTAATTAAGATTCTTGTTCGTCCATTTTATTCCATCTCATTCAATTTTACTCTATCTTTTACTTATTTCAGTTTTATCCTTTATAAGTACGTCATTAAATAGACATTATTTAATTCCTACTTCTCTCCCATCCTCTCTTGTTTTTTTTCCTATTTTTGACTTCCCTCCATTTTTCTTGTTCATGTACTGCTTGAATGCCATAAATAACTTTTAAATGTATTTGTAACATTACAAGGAAGTGAAAAAAAGAAGCAGTTATGTGATAAATTCATGGATTTTCTAGAAGACAATGTAGCTATTTACAAATGACTTCTTAATAATCTATCATGTTATGATGGCTTCTGTTATGCAGTCCGCCCATGTAATTACAACAGAGAGTTAGTAATTTTGCAAACAAAACTAGTTCCTGAATAAAAAAAAGTTGCTGAGACGTGTTGTGAAGTACAATTCATCCTCCAACCATTCCATATTTCGTACCTTTTCTAGAAATTTACCATTTTTTCCTTTTTGAGTTAGATATACATTATTATCTACCTTCTATTTTTCTTGTCATCATGTTATTCGTGTAATGAAGTATGCAATATTGCTTCTTAATTGCTTGTCTTCTATTGGGGAGAACTCTTTCATTGGTATACCGAGTAATTAAACAATCCGGAGTACTGTGCTATCTTTTTAACATAAACTGTCAATTCTCACAGTTTTAAACAAATAGTTAATTCGATGAATTCAACGGTTGTGCTTTTGCTTTTTTGTACAAAACCATCTGTTCAATGAGCTCCAGTAACTATGTTTCAAGCTTGGAACTATTTTATACTCTTTGTCAACTGAGTTCATTTAATTTTTTTTTTCATCATAAAACAGAATACATCAAATATTTGCACATAAGTGAAAAAATATATATTCAGATACTCTACATGGCTTTTTTTGCTAAGATAATATTCTGTGGGACTCTCATAGCTCTGTTGATTTATCATTTATTTTACAAAATTGTATATGCAATGAGTTTCACTTACCAATTTTTCCGTCATTTATTAGCAGTGAATTATAGATCAAAATCGATTTATGAATTTATCATATTTTTTGAATGTTATACATTTGACGAGAGTACTAATTAATTAATGTTTTGCATTTTAGTTTCAATTTTGCTTTTGATAAATATTATTCAATGAAAGTTATTAAAAGTAAAAGATTTAATAGCAAAGTAATGTAAATGAGCGCTCAATCAATGTGTTTATGAGCAATGATTTGGATGTGTGCATGCACACTGATAAAATGATAGAATATTTCAGAAGCATTACTCCACTAGTGGGACTGACTTATTGTGAGTTGTAAAGTTGGCTGGAACGTTTTGAATTTAGCTTTCTATGAATTATATCAGAAATAATTTGCACTTGTAAGTATTTACTTCTGCTTTCATTCCTGTAATTTTGTAATTTTGGTTGAGCTAGCAATTCAGCTACTGTAATTTTAATTGAAACCAAAATGTAAAGTTGTTGATAGCTTGGAATTTATTGCGGCAGAAGTGTAATCTGGTATACGTTTTATGCTTGCTCAGTCAGAAGGCAATCGGCTGAAGGTCATTCAATTAGTCAATAAATCAATCAATTAATTAATCAGTTTCATCATTGCTGATGTTTCAATCAGTGTTTGTATTTGTAGTAAATAATATACTAAATGGACAATTGGACCATTCTCAAACATTTACTTACTTGCCTTTTAGTTAAGTTTAAAACGTAGAACGATTTATTCATCTAGTTTAATTTTTCTATTGTGTACAATGTGAGCAATGATTTATCATCGTGCAATGTTTGCTCTGCGAGAAATTGTGCAAGATTTCCTATCTTACTAGATATTTTGCCAAATGAAAGTTTACAATAGCAAAAAGGGTTGGGAAAGATTGTAACTAATGTTTGGACAAAATAGACCAGAAATGGACAAAGGTCATCGCCACCCATTAATCCCTTTTTACCCTGTTCTCCTTCTACCTTTCATGACATGATTATTGGTGGAAATATCGATCTGTGCCATTATTTTTTGCAAGTTGTACTTGCAACCTCATGCTTATTTTTTACACCATAAAACCACAGATTTTTGGACTTTGTAATTTCAGTCTTGGCAGTTTCACTGATACTGTTATTCTTGTTGTTGTAATATAACGGAATGATCACATTGGAAGCACTAATTGCAGTGTTGACACCATTCTTTTTATGTTACTTAATTTTTGGTTATTATTTCTGAAAGAAAATAGCTCTATATTATGTCAAAAATATCTAATTTTTTGAATAATTAAGCAAACAAAAAAATCTTTGTCGTTCTTAGACCGTTATCGATTTTTACAAAACTGAACCCGATATTCAAGAATCAACAGTATAGCGAAATCTTTTGAGTTTTGGTTTTTTCATTCTTGCTCTTTTTTTCGACGGAAAATTGTTTAAAAAAATGCATGAACTTGACCAAATGATAATGCATTTCTTTGTTTGCTGCTTATGATTATTTTAGTAGATGAACCGAAGTATGTTCATAGTATACTTCCAGTCTTTCAGAATTATTAATAAAAAATAACTGACTAATATATGCTGCAAAAGTTTAAATTTTGTTTATTAAACAACCAATTATAGAATTTTATTTTGTAGATGCATGATGGTAAACGAACTATAATACATTTGCTGGATGGGCAACTTTTGGAGCTTACTATTCAACCGCGTTTGCTTGTTTACGAATTGCTTAATATTATTGCTAGTCATGTGGCCTTAAAAGAAGCCGACAAGCAATATTTTGCATTAGCTTATGTAGATCATTTGTAAGTTTGAGTTTTAGTACTTTGATTGAATTATTTTTGAATGTTTTTTCCTTCTCGCATGCTTCCTTTCTTAAGATGCGTGTATTTTTCTTCATATTTATCTATTATATAATCTTTATCCATTATTCAATAAATTTTATTGCTTAAAAGTTCATATATTCCGGCAATAGTAATAATAAACAATTGAGTATTAGAAAATCTTTTTTTATCTTGATATATGGGGTATTTTAAGAGACCAGTATCACTGGTTACCGACGGAAAGGCGAGTATTGGAATATGATCTTCCAAGAAAATCCCACCAGACACAGTCCGCTTTGGAGTTACATCACAGCGTAAAGTAAAAATTCCAAGATTAGACGGTTGAACTGATTTAGAAAAATAGATCATTAATATTCATAATCAAGTTGAAAGTACGTTAAATATTTTTTTGTTTATTATTAAAAAGTTGTGTTTTTTAGATCTCTCTGCACTTCCCATTATTTTGATATTTATTTCCAGATTTTTCGTTGATTCTGTGCTCACTTTGAGCTATCCATCAGCTGTTGAACTATATTTCTTGGAAATAGCAAGGCGGTTGGTTAAAGTAAGTTCATTTCATATCATGTTTTCTATCCAGTTTGCTGATACAAATTCGCCCACAACCAACTCCTGTTTGTACTGCATTTATAATTAGAAACATTTTCAGGGTTTATTAGAGTTCACGGATCTCGAATACTACAAAATCGCATCTAGTTTTTTACAAATATATTGCGGCGATTATGTAAGGTAGGCAAACATCAAGCATAGTGAGGGGAAAAAATATGTGGGGTTTTTGTTTTGCATAATATTTCTTCAATAGGTTAAAATATGAATTGAAATAGGAGTAAACTAGGTGATTTTTTGAACTCTTTATAAGAAACTTAAAATTGTTAGGAATTTTGCAAAAATTGAGCTTGTCCAGAGATAATTTTTAGTGATAAGAAAGCAAGAAGTGCACTTACCGAGCTTATACCAATTCCAAATGGAGTTTTGCGTGCATATGATGTATCATTAGAAGACATTGAAAAGAATGTGATTGATTTATATAGAGATCTCAGCGGTGTCCCTAAAGGAGTCGCAATTTTGAAGTTTATTTTCTATCTTATCTTTTACGACTGAATTAGATATAAAGTTTGTATCAAATTTGATAAAAGACCTAGAATATCTTATGCTTTTTTAGTTTTTTACAAACTGCTGAAAGGTCTTCTACTCATGGGTGTCATTTTTATCAAGTTCGTGATAAATCTGGACAGCCGTGGACAATTGCTGTCAGCAACAAAGGAATATTCCAGTATGATCCATCTGACTTATCCAATCCAAAAAAGGCCAGTCTCATTTTTTATGGACTAAATTTTATTTTGTTCTTGACCAACCAACTTCAATTTCATGGTTTTGTTTAATGCAGTGTGTAAACAAGCAGACTTGAAACTCCTAATTTTTAATTCATAAATTTTCTGCTAGCTTCTTGTATCATATTTTTTGACTTATGGCTTTTCATCACAAATTGACTTTATCATAGAATATAAAATTCAAACAAGTGATGTTGAAAAGTGATAAGAGCGCCATTTTGACATCACTGCTCCACCATGTATTGAATATGATAAAAGTGTGATTCTCTTTTTAAATAATTATTTCAGGTCTTTACTTGGTCTATACTTGATAATCTTTATTATCGTGATCGAAAATTTTCTATTGAAGTACGAAGTACACGGTTAGTTTATCTAATATCTGCTTTTTTTTATTTCTATCAGTAAACTGACATTTTACATTTAAATACATGACATAAACAAATCTTGGTGACATATAATTCAGTTTTTTTATTCAAAACATTGTAAGGATCTTATTTGTTCGCAATACATTTCTTTCATTTCATATTGCTTTTTCACAAATTGTACTTTCACGAAACCTAAATACTTTAGTTCATAGTGCAATATCATCATGCTATGATTTGCTTCAAGACTGATTACTTTGCTGATGATAGCATTTTCAAAGCTTATACTATCTGCTTATGCGTGTAGAGTACCGTCGTTGTTTTTTGTTCATTTTGTTTTAGTTTAGGGTTATTCAATCATCGGTTAATGCTAACAGTATACTAGATAGCACGAGTTGTTTGGATTCGGACGATGAGCTTGCAAAAGCTGTAAAAGATCCCACTACTCAGTATGTTTCATTTTCATAAAACACCTCAAATTGTTATTCTTTCTCTATCTGAGAAAGATCTATCTGTTGTAATGTATCTTTCATCTTGATATTATTGAATCTGCATTGCATGGTAATTCCATTATATATTATGTATGGCTTACACAGAACTTGAAAGGTTTTAGATGGTTCGGAAAATTGTTGAAAGATTTTTAGAGTTTCCATATCCAGGCGATCTGTAGCATCTTCTGCTGTACAAATACACGCTTTTTACTGTGATTCTAATTTTTTGTGCAAGACAATTTGGTCAACAGCTATTTCACTGCATCAATTTTATTTGGACCAACGAACCTGTGCTAGTGCTAAAGTAAGTGAGCACTGCATTAATTTTTTGGTCTCTCAGATAGATCTCTTATAAATAAGCGTAAAGAATAAATAAATATGTTACATCAGATTATCTCTTAATCTCATTCATGTGAGACATGGAACAATTTTGTTATTTATGTCTCTTATTTTCTTTAATTGACAACTTTTATTTTTTTTGGTTGAAAATTTTTTGTTAAGTGTAATTGTGTCACAGCTTGTGCATTAATATATTTTTCGGTAGACTTTCTTTGGGAATATCATTTTCCTCTACATTCACTGTTTGAATTGCTGTTGCAATCATTTTCGTAAAGTTTGTATCAAAGAAAATCATTTTAAATCTTTCGACATAGAATCTAAATTCTTAACATATGACGTGGATTAATCTTCCAAATACCGTTCAAAGAGTATTCCTTGGTAATTATTCACCAAATGACTTGCCACGAAGTAGCTAGGAACTGTGGTTAGTCTCGGGAAAATGTTTAGATCAGCCATAAGATGTTGCATGTAGATTATGGCTCAGTGAGTGAAATAATAAAGGAACGGAATATATGACTGCTAGGATGCCAGACAGATATCCACTGGATAAAAAAAGAGCACCTATTCAGATTATTGCACAAAAAACTTATTTACTGTTACATTGTAGCAAATGTAACCGGTACTATACCTCAGGGGATAAAAGTTTTGATTTGATTAAAACGAATCTGTTCATTAATGCGTTATCTGTGATGGTATACAGGCATTCGCTCACTCAATTACTAGTTACATGCATTCATATATACATGAATAACATTCATCATGTTATGCAGACAGTGATGACACACACACATTTATCGTTTTGTCTACGAAATGTGGAGCATGTACTCTTAGTTATAATCCTTTTCTTGTATAAAATTTACAGTTATGATATTATTAATGTTGTGAATTATGTGCATTAAGTGAGAAAGATTTTCAAAAATTACTACTTTTTCTAATAATAGTAAACTGATTTCTCACAGCGACATTTTAATTAATTATTGTCGCATTTATCATTGATCTACTAGAAAAAAGCATTATTGGTCCAGTAAATCTGATCTTTGTTTCAAACTTTTCTCATCACTTTTTGAAGTTGAAATCTTGTGAGAAAGGTGATAGGTTAGGATGAGTAGTTTTTTTTAGCATAAAATTGCGAAAATGATAAACTAGCACTGGAATGGGAGTATAGCACCAGGAAAGAAGCAGTTGTTTATAGATGAAAGTTTGTTGTCGATAATGTCATGTAGCAAAATTTATCGTTTTGTCTACGAAATGTGGAGCATGCACTCTTAGATTGTTTAGCTTAGTATTAGAAGTAAGTGTTAAACAGAAGGATAATTTTTTATAGAATGGTAAGATGTACTGGATAGGTTATAAGTACTTGTACTCATCGCTTACATGCGTTATAACGTGCAAATAAATTTTCTAATTTGAAATGAAATGATATGGACATATCTTGTTTATAGCTTTTAAATCATTTTCTTTTTATGATTGTTGAGTTTTTTTTTTCCAAATTTTATTTTTCGTTTGCAGCATATTTGTGTTTATGATATCTGATTATTCTATTACTGATTAAATGAACTGTTTATTAGCTAGTTTTGAGTAATTATTAAGAAGTAAAAGAGCAGAAAAGTTTGTATAGAGCAGAGTAATTGTAAATGACATTTTTGTTCGTTGAGCAATATTCGTTTGTTTATCCAAAATAGTCAAATGTTTTGGTGCCTACAGTCAAAAATGTTAATGGGTACAGTGACACGATCGTCATGTGATTTCCGCTGAATTAGTAAGCATATATTCTCTTTATTACTGCATATATAACAAAAATATTACAAGGAATACTGGGTAAAGAATATTTATTTTTTAAAGCTATGCAAATATTATTTATTGATATGGCGTGTAGGTAATAATGGAGTAGGTAAGAAAGCTGAAGAAATATTGTCTTTCGTCAATTACTGCAGGACTTAAAAATGCTCAGTTCAAATAGATAGTAATATCCTGTTGTATATAACTAATAGTATAATAATTACAGAATATATTACCGAATGATCCAGGAGTTGAATTGAAACAGTTGGGCGAAAAACTCTGTCGCTTGATAAGCCATTCTTCTGTTGCATCCTCGCTGCCTTCTTTGAAGTAAGCTAATTTCACTGGCAATGATAAATTATCACTGCTTTATTTGATTCTCATTCATTTGTAACTAACTGTATAGTGTGTAGAATTAGTGCAAAATGATTGTCGTTTTTTATTTCGTGTAATCAATTTCTTTTTGTCAGTTTCTAGTTTCTCTCCAAGTGTGTATCAGTTCATAATTTCTAGCCTTTTTTCTACCAAAATCATTCATTTTATTTGTTCTTTTCCAGTGAAAGTACTAAGTGTTTAAATCTTTGTCATGTCATTTCTGGCGTCGAAATAATCGTCCTTATCCATTTTTACCACTTATTTCGGGATTTTTTTTGTAACGCTTCTCGTTTTATAAAAAAGAAACACTTGCAGAAACAGTTGAGACTAATTGCAATGTTATTATTCCTTTTGATAGTAGTATGAAGAGCTGAAATGGGATAGGTATAAAGATGAATGAATTCATGATAACTTGACAGTTGACGAGAAGTTGGCTTAAGTATAATACTGTGAAGTATGTGCTTTTTTGACTTTTCAAATTGCTAGAAATAATGAGCGAGGTTGTTTTATCATTATGGGCTTTTATTTGGGTAACGTAGCAATTTAACCTACTGCTTTCACTCGATCCACATATCATTTTTATAGAATTTTGAAATGATAATAATAGTTTTTAGTAATATTTACTTACTGGTACAACTCTTATAATCATATGCAGAAGTTTTCTTCAAATCCCCTAATGCTCCAGAGAAGCTGATGTTACTGGTTGTTTCAAGTTTTCTGCCAGTTTTTGTCCTCTTGGTTTATAATTATTCAGTTTTCAATTCTTTTATTGTTATGTTGTAATGTTTGCTGAATGTGTTTAGGCTTTGAGAATTTTTTTAGTCAAATCCTTGTGGTTAAGAAATTTGTACAAATTGTTAAATCAACTAATTAAAAATAATGTAGACTTTTGTGTTTTAATCAGGTAAGTTTAATGGTAGCGTAACTTTAGGAGAACCTTTTATTTTATATTCTTAATTTTTAGATTACTATTATGAGAATTTTGGAATTACTTGCATGTTGGTGTTTTTTTGATTTTATAAAATATTTTTCTAACTGCTATGGCTTCTTGTTTGAGCTGAGATTTGATTTAATCAGTGTTTTGTAGTTCACTGTCTTCGAATGGGATGCCGTCAGCAACAGTATCAGATGGTTCAATTGTTTCGTTACCATCTTTAAATGGGGTTCACAGTAGAGGTGCAGTATTCAAACTTTCCTTCATTAAAATTATCTTGTCATAAAGGGATTTTCAACGTTTACATTCTCTTGAACACATTTTAAGAAAAAACTGAGGAAGAAAAGCACAGAGAAATTGAACTCTATAAACAGCTGAAGAAACGGAAAAATGAGCTGGAAGAGAAGCTTCTTGCGAAACTGGATGAATTACGTGAAGTGTGCATCAAGGAAGCGGTAAATATTTTATTATCAGCAACTTAATTTGAACTGATTTTACATGTTTATCCCACACTTTTATTTAATTACTCTTCTCTGTAGGAAATCACGGGTGAATTACCGAAAGAGATTTATAAAACACTGATGCCCGGCGAAGAAGAACCAAAAGTGCAGCGGCGTGTTGGAACAGCTTTTTCTCTGAATGAAGAAGTTTTCAAAAGACCTGTGAATAGCGTTAGTTATTTTAATCTATTAAATAGGTATTTAACATTTGGTTTCTACATTGTTATATGTCACTATATGTTTATTTTTTACTGCACTGTTTTTTTTAACGCTAGGTTTTAGAACGATAGAATTTCCATGCTAGAAACGGATGTCGAGTTGCATAGGAAAATTGTAGCTGCTGCAGAACGTTTAGCTAAAGATAAAACAACCAACAAATCAGTAAGGAAAAAACGCCAAAAAGATTTGATAGCAGCGACACAGAAATTGCGTGGCCTTGAGTTTGGTCTAAGTCAACTCCGACTTTCGGCTAGTAAGCCTGATGTCAGCTCTTCACTTCACATTGGCTTCAAAAGTGGTGGTGATTCCTTTTTTACTCTTCTTCTT